TATTATTATTATTATTATTATTATTATTATTATTATTATTATTATTATTATTATTATTATTATTATTATTATTATTATTATTATTATTATTTTTATTATTATTATTATTATTACTATTATTAGCTTTGAATTAATTATGAAAAACCAGAATTTATTTGCTGTTGTATATTTTAATTTTTATCTAATTCTTCCAATCTCTTACGCTAATTCTTTTTTATTTTTTAAGTTTCTTAAATTTTTCGTTCAGTCATTTCTACAACTTAATTTGCTGCTTCTTATGCAGCTTATAATGATTTATGCAAGTCAATAAATTTCTTTCCCAAGTGAAGAATTTAAGTGTTTTAATTATTATTGTTCTTTGAAATATCACTTTACTATTACGTTAATGCTCTCTCAAAAATCTAAAACCTTTATTCAAGATTTATTATTTTCTACCAAATTTAATCTAACTTATCCTTTAAGAAGGCTTCAACAGCTTCTTTAATTTCTTCTTTAGTCATTTAATTTTTCTGTATTAATTTTAATTATTAATATTTCATTTGATAATTATTTTCTAGCATTAAAATATGCATAATATAATTTATAGAACAGAATTCTAAATTATTGCAAAATAAATATAATATTAGATAATATTAGTAACATAAACACTCATTAATAAAAATAATACTTTTTAAATAGTGTTTAAATATTATCTCTTGGGAGGAATTTTTGCATGAAATAAATTACTATTTACTTAGTAAAAAATATATAAAACAGTATAAATTGTTTCAATACTTCTTTTTGAAAGATATCACAAAGTTTACTACTTTTTAATTAGATATAAATTAACAACTATTGATTTGATGAGAAAAGAGTTAATTATATTCCATGATAACATTTTAGATTAAAAACATCAATATGTAATTTTGTATAAAATAATAAAATGAATAAAATAATATTGTCAATTTTGTATACTTCTCTGCTGATTGCTTACATAGTGATAGATATTGCTTTTAATGATGAACTTTGGGATGTTAGCAAATCGTTTGCGTTATCAATGCAAAAATCTATTCCTGTTTTTGAATAGTTAGTTTATGAATTCTTCTCAGACATTGTTTTTATTCCACCAATAGCAGCATTTTATTGTTTCATATATGATGACAACAAATTAAACTCATTGCTTTATTTGAGTGTAGTTGTAACAAGTGTAACTACAAATGAGATTTTAAAGAACATTTACCATTAAGCAAGACCATATATGATTGAACCTGAGATTAAGAGGTACCAATAAATTAAATTTTAGTTTAAAATGCAACTCAGATTATGGTAAACCTTCAGGGCACTCTCAAAACTCACTTGTGATGCTTATTCTTATGCCGGTGTTACTTTTCCCATCAATTAAACAACTAAGAAGAAATAAAGTCTAAGTTGAATTTTAAGAAAGTATGTATCCATATAGATAAAATTAGATCTTGATAAAGGAGAATCCCATTCAGGGTACACAATATATAGTATCAAAACTTCCGAGCTAAGAGTAACAATTATAAGAATATTTAGTTAAGAATAGTTAATAATAAGTAAATACGAATATTTAATCTAAATGTAAAATTGCTTTGAAATTGATGCTTATTATATTCATCCTTCTCAGTATAGTGATGACTGGAATTTCTAGAATATTTCTTGGAGTTCATTCTTTAGGATAAGTGATTCTTGGATGGGTTTGGGGTATATACATAACTTTAATGTATATTTTCGTCATTCATGATCCATTAAAATAGTATTTATTATATAAATTTAGGTATATATTAAAGTTACTAAATCCCCAAAGGAGTAGATTAGAGGAAATCAATCATTTTATTCCTATGTCATTTTTCCTATTATTAATCCTGTTAGGATTATCCTTGGGATTATTAAAATTGAATTCCTTAGTATATTATGATAAATAGGATATGAGTAAATGGATTGCAAGAATCAACGAATGTTAATCAACTCATTACACTAAGGATTCCCCATAAATATTATTTAATTCTTGTTTCCAGTTAACAGCAATTGGAGCTGTGATTACAGGATTATTGGTTGGAGCTATGTTAGCCTAGGGTTCTTATGAAGAAGGGCTCTTTAATAAGTGGAGGTAAAAGCTTCCAAAAATGTAGCATTTTAAGAGATTACTCTTATTATTACTTCCATTTTTATTTTTGATACCATTCTTATTTATTAAATCAAATTCCGTAGTTATTCAGTTAATATGCAAAGTATTGATAAATATGATTTTTAGATACTTCCTCTATCTTTTGGAGCAGGATTTATTATCAATGGAGTCTTTCCATATCTTTTAAGAAGATTTAACTTACAAATACCTGGAGATTTTCTATTTTTATGCCAGAGAAAGTATTTACTTGGTGACTAAAGTTAAAATAGCTTGTATTAATAAATAAAAGAGTATAATGATTAATATTAACATACCCTTTGATTAATATAATTTAATTATAAATGGACGCTGAAATCACAATCTTTGATAAAATCGTATCTGGATAGATAAAAGCAAATATTGTTTATTAAGATGACCAAGTAAAATTAATCCATATTTAGTGCCTTGCTTTTCATGATGTCAATCCATAAGCTCCTGTGCATATTCTATTAATTCCAAAACAGCGAAATGGATTGACATAATTATCAAAAGCTCAAGAACACAATAAGGAAATCTTAGGCCATTTATTGTTTACTGTCACAAAGATTGTAGAATTAGTGGATGAATTAAAGAAAGGATTCAGAATTGTAATTAATGATGGTGAGAATGGAGGTTAGAGTGTTTGGCATCTTCATATTCATATAATTGGAGGAGAATAATTAACTTGGCCTCCAGGATCTAGTGGAAGCTAAAAGAAGTGACATAAAATAATAATAAAATTTTATATTTATTGGATTCAGAATCTTAACACTCTGTCTTGAACATATAACATTTCATATCTCGTATTGTAATCCATATCTCCTGATGGTTTGCATGCCAAATCCCAGTATGATGTATTAAAAACCTATTCATTACATACTACTATATACTTAACAAGGATCTCCCAATAAAAAAGTATTCCAAATTAAAATGTAAGCAAATAATACCCAACCACTTCGATACATTAAGTTCATAGCCATAACATGCATTTTATATGTATAACTGTGATCTTCTTCCATTCCAATACTATCACCTGCTTATCTCAAAACTAATGTTTTGAATAACCCTCTTTAACTTAAATAAGAAAATATACTATCTGCCAATTCCATGGTAATAACCAGTCTAATATGTAGCCAACAATTTTGGATCAAATCTATTAATATACTAATAATAAGCATGTTTGGAACAGGTTTTGTAAAATCTCTTGTCCATTAATTGTTATTTTTATTAATATATATAAAATTTATTAATCAATGATAGTGCATATTCAGAGATTATATTAAGTTTTAAGTGATTAAAACCTATCTCCAATTAGAAATTTTTTAATTTTATTGCTTTAGCTACTCACTCTTGTTTGATTTAATTCTATTATTTATCTTTTGATTAAATCATGATCATTTATTTCACCAATATTCTTTCCATTTTTAGTTTAATAGCAATTTTAAGACTTAAAATTTTACAGAAAGAAATATTAAGCAAATTATCAATTATAATCAGCTTTGTCCAATATCCTAATATCATAAATAAATTGTTATGAAATTTTTATTGAAATTAAACAAGTTAATTCAATAAATTAATATCATTTTATGTTAATTATATATCACTAAGTTCGAGGTTAAGCCTTTATTTTTTTATATCAAAATAAATTATATAATTTAATCATCACACTACTTTCTGTATATAATTTCTATATCATAGTTAGTCACTATATAAATTCTGACAATTCATACTGCAACAGAAACATATTGTATTTTTTTTTTTTGATAATCTCATTTTTGCTCATATTTTAAATCTATATTCTTCCTTCAAATGTAGTAATTATATGGATTTAAAAGTGGTGATGAACTCATTATAAATAATGATAATATTTTAGAAATCTTTAAAATAATATTTAATAATTTATTAATGTATATTTAAGTATCCTAATATAATATCTAAAAGCTTAAATTTAACTAGCCGAAATAAAGTTAATCATTCATTTAATAATAATTCATTAATATCATTTTCAAATTCATTTGATGATTTTTTAGAAAAAAGATTATGTCACAAAATTGGTAATATATCTAATCTTTAAAACATTTATTTATTAAAAAGAATTTGTAAAACTGAGCCGAATTCATTTATTATCATAATAAAACTGTAAATATTTACTTATTAGTTACATTAAACCTCCAAAAGAAACAAATAATTTTATTTAATCTAATTAATATAATATAAAAATATATTTAATAGATTTAAAAATTCGAACATAAACTTTTGTTTGATTAATGTGAATGCAAAATTATTACTAAAAGAGATTTATATATTTAAATTTTTATATTTAATATTTTATAATGGATGCATATAATCTCATGCAATATTGAATAGGCAAATTATCGCAAATAGCCCTAGATTGATTATTCTGGAATAATCAGCTGTTTAAACATTCAAAGACTATTTACATAAGCCTACTTGTTAAGTTGGGTCTTAACATGTCTAATCTTCATTACAATATTGGGATTTTTCTTATCCGCAATAACAATTTGATGTCTTGTTGTTTGTACATTTTTAAACACAAACTCTTTATTGTGTTTCAAGACTTTAGCATTCAAAACCAGATTAGCAAATTAATTTCTGATCTACACCTTTTTCTGTACTTCCACAATAACAATTTGTTTCACCATTTTCTTTGCAAGTTGGTACACATATTCCAGTCACATCATTATACACAGTATTAAATTAATCAAGGCAAGCTTAGTTTTCAGATAATATCAAACAATTTTGATTATTTATTGAAGTACATTGTTACATACAAACACCTTTGGATTATAGTAAACAATATGTAGATGAAAAACATATGTCAACAGAATCTATTCCACATAAACAATTATTTTAATTTTATTGACATTTTTCCAAACATATACCATTAAGTGCTCCAAAATCTAAACAATATGAATTCTATTTGCAATGTGCTTGATTAGTGAAACCACATGTACAATTTGATTAAAATTATGATGTACAAGTACCTAAATTACAAATTCCATTATCTGAATATTGATCAACACATTTTTCACCATTTGAACAAATCTATTTTACCTTATTTCCACATATACAATTTGATTATTAATAACTAGAACAGTATTCTAAACAAATTCCTTATTGTTTTGATGAACAATATGTTGTAGATGAACAATATGAATATAATGATGTTCCACAAACACAATTATTTTAGAATTAATTACATTATTATACGCAAGTACCTGTAAGTTATTTAATATCAAGGCAATGTTCATTTACACTACAAAAAGGAGTTACTGAATTACCACATAAACAATTTGTTTATAAATTATTTTGACATTTTTCTTTACAATTTCCATTTTAATCATCAGGATTCTAACATACTTAAGTTTTAGAACAGGTTATTTTATTAATTGAACCACAAATACAATTAGATTTTTAATTTTGATTACAATATTATAAGCAAACTCCTGTTGAATCACTTACATTAGTACAATAAGTAGATTCAGAACAAACAGAAATCTAAGTTGTACCACATTAACAAGAATTATCAAAATTATTAATACAATTTGGTATTGTTATACATTAACCAGTACTTGCACTTGGATCTGCACATGTTTATTAATTAGAACAACCTTATTTTGTAATTGTTCCACAAATACAAGATGATTTAATATTATTTGTACAAATATCATAACATTATCCAGAAGTAGCTGAAGCATTCAAACAATATTTAGAATTATTACAATTGCTAAATTGATTTTATCCACAAGAACAATTAC